ATATATGTGTGTGTGTGTATCTGTTTGATTTTTCCTTCAGAAATAAAGTGCTGATTGTGAATATTTTTATTGTTTTTGTTAAGATGACAAACTATAATACACACAACTGTGGTAGCCATAATACGTTGGTCCGTTGCTGATGTACCTAATAACAAAACTATGATAATAGGTGTTGACACTTGCTTTCCATAGCAACTTAACTCTGACATAGGAACAGACACTAAGGTGCAGATATAAATAATATTTGTGAAGATTCAATTATATTGTCAGAGAATTCGAAAGCTTGTTAACTCCATTATTTAACATACACAGGTTATATGTGTTTTGTCTAGATAGTAGTCAAGACTCAGGTGGGCATGGTTAGAACAGTTTTTGTTCCTTCTCAAGAACTCGTAAGACCAACCTCATACCACGAGAATGTATTTCACTCCATTACACCACCTCCAGTATCTTCCACTTTTGGAACAAGACAATATTTCCAAAGTCCTCATGTAGTTTTAGTGTATCTTCAATATGAAAAAATGGCAAGATTCAGATTTTACCACCAGACATTCATTGTTTGAACTTTAAGCCACATTAAAATCTGTTTTCTCTCTAAAATAAGTTAGTTGTCTACTGTCATATGGAAGCTTTTGTATTTTCCTCTCATGATACTATCGAAGACAATCGAACCCTGATCATATCATTATGACACGGTCTGATCATTGCTGTACATTTAAGAATGCCCAATTATTTTCCTCCCAGGTAGTAGCTAAAACTTCACCAGGTAGTAGATATATTCCATTTCAGTTGCCATTGTTTATAGACTAATGATAAATGTCTTTGAACAGCGTAAAAGAAACAGTTTTTTTTTTGTTAAAGGTGGACTCCTTTTAACATACCTATTTCAGAGATATTCATGCTCGTAACCATTGCCTTGTAGACTACCAATGATATGATTACATCACTACATTTATAGGGATCAAACAATCACTTGACACATAACGAGATCAATCTATTTGGCATATGTCAATGAATAGGGTGATTTAAAAAATATATGTGTGTGTGAAGTGTTTTAATGATATGGCATTCAGTTTTTGTATTTCAGTAGTGGAATGCATTACTATTATCAGAATAACCTTTACGACATAACGTTTATATTTTTCATTCTCGATATCTTTAACTATTTTTTTTTATCTTTAGTAGTTTTCATCTTCGTTTTGTCGGTGATAATGTTACATTTTTACTAAATATTTTTTTTTACTAAAGTGATGGTTTTAGTTATAGTGAACATTTACCTTCTTAGGTGGGTATGACCCAAATATACGAAACTGGGGAGAAATGGTTGCTACAAAAACAACTTTTACGTATAGATTTTGCGTTAAGGAGTGGTCTAGAATAAGTGACATGCGTTGTACAAGATCCCACCATACCATGGTAGTTTTTAACGACCGCATATATGCCATTGGAGGAAGGGATAGTTCCGGAAGGTAATATGTCTCATAGTGTGTTTATATTTAACTAACATTATAAAGTTACCTTTATCTAGAATATCTAAGATATATGTGCGCATGCGTGTACATATGTATCACTATTTCAGGGTTTCGAGAATCTAATATTAAATAACCTACACTTTTATTGTTTATATCGATAACACAGTACGGAAGAAAGTTCAACTTTATAGAATCTCTTGAGAATCTATCTTAATAAACAAAACGTGTTTATAATTTTCACGCTTTACTGTGTAAGATATTTTCCAAAAGGTTGATAGCTTCTGTCGAGACATACTGTCCTGAGACGGATGAATGGGAACTGGAAAAACCCATGCCAAAACCAAGAATGGGGATGGCGTCAGTTTCTCATGGAGGATACATTTGGGTTATGGGTGGATTTACCTCAATAGGCAGAGAGGAAAAGAAATCTCCGGTGTTGGACGAAGTTCTTTGCTACGACCCAGTATTCAAGCAGTAAGAACGTTTTATATATATATACATTACTTAATACATTTCATAAGCGTAAATAAAACTAAGACTTTCGCTGCTGATATGTAAAGTTTTGTAGTAAATAACAAACTAAATAGAGAAACAAAGCCAAATCAGTGTATTTAAATGATGCGTAAAACTTTGATATTTAATGAAATGGTTTGGGTTATTGTAATATCAGAATTTTTGGCTCAAAATAATATTTTTAAACAATTTATTCGCCACCTAGGGTTGATGTAACGAGTTTTCTAAGTAGGTAATTAAGTATTTTAACTGTAAAAGTATTAAAAGTTGCCATGCTTTCTGGCGAGGTTAAGTAGTTTTTCGATGAAGCAAAAAAATGATTCGCAGTACGTAACAATGATCATGATATTGTTTCGTATTTCGTTTAGATGGGTAAAAGGAAGTCCCCTCAGGATCCCCAAAGCTTATACTGCAGCTGTTGTTTGTGAGGGGCATATCTGGTTGTGTGGAGGTGCAGTCCCATCTTTAGATGAAAACAACTGTCTTATAAGCGTAGCATCTATAGATGTGTATGATGAAGAAACTCAGGAATGGAAGCAGGAAACTCCCCTTAATCGTCCTCGACACTGTGCTATAGCTGTTGCTTTAGGTTTGTTTGTTTGTTTTGAATTTTGCGCAAAGCTACACGAGGGCTATCTGCGCTAGCCGTCCCTAATTTAGCAGTGTACGACTAGAGGGAAGGCAGCTAGTCATCACCACCCACCGCCAACTCTTGGGGTACTCTTTTACCAACGAATAGTGGGATTGGCCGTCACATTATAACGCCCCCACGGCTGAAAGGGCGAGCATGTTTGGTGTGACGGGGATTCGAACCCGCAGATTGTGAATCGAGTGCCCTAACCACCTGGCCATGTCGGGCTTGCTTTAGGTAAAGAGCTATCTAACAGACGGAGTTTTAACTAAAATGTCCACCACCCCGACCCAACTATTACAATGTCAGTATTTTGTATTTCAGTAGTAGGATACATTACAGTTGTCAAAATAACCTTTATGACATAGCGTTCTTGTTTTTCATTCTCAAAATCTTTAGTAGTTTATATCTTCCTTCTTTTGTACACGATGTTTAATTTTTTAGTTTATATTTTATTAAAGTGAATAAAAAAAACCTATAACCCGAGCGTTTTCGAAAGGTGGACTTTTCTTCTTCAGGGACAAACTTTTATTAAAGTGATAGTTTAGTTACAGTGAACATTTACCTTCTTGGGTGAATTGCCACTGAAAGCCCCTAACGATAGAAACCGGGTTTCGATGCCAGTGATGGGCACAACACTAAAAAAGTGAGATCTTGTTTTTGACAGTGAAAGGACGCGAACCCCGGAACCTCACACCGACAGTGCTAACCATTGGGTTACACCTACCCATACGTAAAGAGATTATTCCGACATTGTTAAAATTAGTTTATTGTAAAACAGTAACATATAGAAAATATGTGGTATTTAAATAAAGAAATATTTTTTTTTCCTTTTAATTTCTTCAATGATTTATTGTGTGTAACATTAATCTTTCCCTGCTTTTCTTAGCGTCTATTAAGTCTCCACTTATATCAGAGTACCTTCTAATTGAATACACGGATTGTTAGTCTTTTTCTTATCTAGGATATACATTTCCTCACAAGTCATTTTTTTTTTCCTTCTCTTTTCAGAATCATGTATTTATGTTATTGGAGGGATCAACAGCTTTGAAATGAGCGCTACGAGACGAAATGAACTCTATATGATAGATACCAAGAATATTCATCCAATCAGAGATTTACCAATTCCAGTAACAGGAATGGCCGGTGTTGCAGTGCCTCCAAAATGTCTAACATTCCGAAGCGAAAGTTTAAGTATCATGATAAGACATAAAGTCGCGCCCTAATCGTGTCACCACTTTCGAATACTCGGTGAACTTTTTGGATAAATTTTTAATATTGCATCAGCTGTTAAAAATACATTGAATATAATTACCGAAAGATGATATATCCGTCCATGTATATATATATATATATATATACATATTTTAAAAAAATTGTGCTTCATTGCAAATGTTTTTAATGAAATTCCCCTTAAGAGATTTCAAACTAGACGTGTGTATATTGTATTTCAGTTCCTTTTTGTTTATCATAAGTTTCATCAGTTTTGCTGCAAATTAATGAACGCTTATGAATATATTCACGTTTCGTATAATGGTAAACTGCATCTCAAGAACAAACTAGTGTTATATGTTTTGGAGGTAATGATCCATTTTATTTTAACTTAATATTATAATACAGAAGAACGAGTATTTTGTATTAAAACAAATTTGGAGCCTCACCACGTTTTTACTGTTCATATCGTCACGTGCGATGATGGTTTATCTGACGGTCGTCTATTTCATTGCAAAACTCTCCGTCTTAAGACTGTCACCTCCAAAGTGCAAAATTCTTCCCTGCATCTTTTCATAATCCATTTAGTGCATGAGGATGACGATTTCCCAGCACCTGTTTCAACGGTACAATCGCAGAGAAATCCATAAGCGCTGCATTCTGCGACGTGACTGGTATGTTTTAGTATGGAATCATACGAATAGCCATTTCTTTCTCCAGCCTACTTGAGAATATTTTGTGGTGGAAAGGGCCGATATATATATATGTATCCTACTTAAAAACGATCAGTGTTTGGTGGCATTGCACTACCTATGAAACACTAAACAATCCTGTTTCACCGATGCTATAAAGCGTCTGTGGTTGTTGCGTTACTTGTTAATTTACATATTCAAAATAGTTTTTCATATAATGTAATCAATTCTATAAATTGGAAAAGCAGATTTAATACTAAACTAAATCTTTTAAACAGGCCGGATTTCGCGAGATGTTATTGATATTATGATTGAAAACATCTAACAACGAGAGTACCTAACTGTCAATTCAACTAATTATAATCACTATAGTGTATTGATTTATAAGTTATTTTTATTCTGATATAATACGTAGTTTACTTACTTATATTTAATAGTTTTATTAATTGCTTCGCAGGAGATTGTCTGACATTGGGAAAGATTTGAAGCTAAATGCTACATTTAGTCTGAAGACTGCTCAGTTTCAGGCTTAATGGTTTCAGCAAAATATGGCATGATCCAGATAATACTTTTGGAACTACATACCTCATTGTGGATAGTTTAGCTAGAGTACAATTTGAAAGTAGTCATGGGGCATATTTAATCACATGTAATTAAATCACGTACACCTGCCATGGAGTTTCCAGAAACTTTAACTTATTGAATAAATGTAATGCTACCCTGATATTATAGTATAAAAAATTGGACATATTTTCAGGATTTTCTGGTGGCATTTATGAAGGCCTAGGTTACAAGCTGGAATAAAATTTAGACCAAGTACAAAAATGAGAATGAGACATCTCTCACATCAATTAACTAGCCAATCTAACAGCTGCTGTAAGACAAGGATGGATTGTATACTTAAGGAACAGAACATTTAGTCTCCTAAGTATGTCTATTTATCTTTCAATTGATACAATCAACCACCTCAGGTGGAAAGTGATATCTAGCTGCAAGAAGATGGCTTCACTGAACAGTTGAGGAAATATATTATTGTTCTTTGGCATAAGCAGGAATATGAGAATGATAAGAAAGAAAAATTTGCTGGTGGATAATGGGCATGATTTTCAGATTGCATTGGATTAATGTTTACCAAGTTAAAAGTCTTTAGACCAATCAGTTCACTGAGTATGATATTTAATGCTTTCACAAAGCTAAAAACATGTTTATAATTTAAACTTAAAATTTACCTGCCTGATATAATTTTGGGTTCTGGGTGAAACAACAACAACAACTGCTGCTGGAAAAAATAAACAATATCAGATGCTTATGCTTCTTGATAATTTCAAGTACAAGAATGTGAAGTTAAAACGTTCTTATGTGAGAGACATGGAGTCTGACAAATTGACACCTCTGTCGTAAGTGTAAAGCAAAAGTTTTTATTTAAGGTGACCGTTCAAACAACTTAGATGGGATTAGGAATGAGGGTATTAGTAGTACTGAATGTAGAATATATTGACAAATGGGCAAGGCTCCTCACAGGAGATCTGAAATGCCTGATTTTCAAGATGGCAAATTCTTATGGGCACTCCATATTGTATGAACCCTGATCTTGACCTTAGAGTAGTGGCCCCTGTGGGCTCAACCACAGTGGATGACTTTTGTGATGTCATATTCATCCCTCATATTGGCAAGCCATAGTGTGATGTCAAACAACTGGTTTTTCTCACTTTTTTTTTTCACACAGTCATTATTAATTCCATAACTCCTAGATCTTTCCAATTATGATGAACCCATGACTCGTAGGTTTTTATCAATCTATGACATCATCAGTGACCAATCAGAGATAACATCCCTGACCCACTCCAGTTGGTCAATACTGGCATATCATCCTCATAGATAAAATTGTTTCCCAATGGATCCCTCTATGTAATTTTAGAAGAAATCCATACTTGGCATATTATGAGACTTCATTGCTAAACATCTTATGTTTCATGTAAATTGAAAATAATTCACTTATACAACAACCATCATCACATCTTTAAAATATCCATTTTGGCAGAAGCTGTGCTAATATGGGTCTTGTTTGCAAAATGAGTCAGAACTAAATTACAGTGTTTAGAGTGAGCCTCTCAGAAAGCATCAAAAGTTCTTAATTTTGGAAACCATCCATAACTTATTCATCAACTTTAAAAATGAATAAGATGGTGTAAGCCAGGACCTGTAGGCTTTACTGCCTTGCCTCCATTATTTGTATGAGGATATGTTTTATGAGGTTTTGGGTTCCTTTTAGACAAATAATTATATCTACAGTCTTTCCTACAAAACTACAAAAAGTTGTACAAACAACTTCACAATGTGATTGTCAAGTTTCTACATTCCAAAAATACATTTAAAAAGGGGGGGGGGGGCAGTAATAAAACAGAAAATTTTAAATGTGAATCTAGAAAGAAGTCCAAACTTTTATTCTCTAACATTTTTGTTGTATATAGAAAACAAACCACTTTACAATGGGCAAAATAGAATTATAAGAAATTCTGTTTTAAAAAAATTATATTTAGTATTTTCTAAAGTTATGGAGTTATACTTAAAACCTTTGACTTTGAACTCCATTTTAAGTTTAGTAGATAAGTTACTCCAAAGATATGGATATACTTGCAGACGTCATCAATGAAAATAAATAGAAAGGCTAACAATATCCCCCCAAATTCACTGTATTCTATTCAGTGGATTTCAAGAGGAAATGGTATTTGAGGCATGGAAAGGAGCATTAAATATAACACATACTTCAGAAGGATACACTTAACATTGCACCAACTTGAGACTTTGTGAGAAAGATGTATTGGAGCATACTAAATTGTGACCTAAAGATACATAGAACAGTCAGTTTTCCATAAATAAATATGTTCCTGATGATGAAAACTTCAGTTATTTTTGGTCAAATAAGACCTACTCTTCAACACAGAATATTCCATTTCATGCACTATGCGAAGCAAAACACTATTAATTAAAACCCTTTCACTGCAGCTGGGATGTACATTTTCCAGTGCACTGGAAAATATACATCCCAGCAGCATTGAATAGGTTAAGTATGCAGACAATGTCTCTAGGTTCAGAGATCTATACATACATTTCAAACTGTTTTTAACTTTTACATCTGATAAAAAAAGCCTGAATCCCAAGTGTGTCTGCTTTAGACTATGGGTGTTCTCATAAGATATCTTCGTGTAAAGACTCATTTAGATTGGCCTAAGTATAGAGGAATGGCAGGCCAACAATCCTTTGACCACTGTAAAATCACAAAAAAGGCACATATCCAATTTCTGTCTGCTTTAGTTTGTAGGAGTTACCACAAGGTACCCCTGTTTCATTTGGATTGATGGAAATAATAAGGTAACTGCAGGCCAAAATGTGTTTTTTGTAATGTTTGACCTTTGACCCCCTAAAATCAGAATAGAAGCTTGAATAAAAAATTAAAATTATTTGACCAAAGTATATACCTTCAAGATGATAAGAGCAGAAATAAAACAATGACCACAACTGTAATTGTTCAAAAGAAACATACGAACCATGTCTCCTTCCCTATGGAGGCATAATTACACAATACCATAAAGGTATTTTAAGTCAAATCTGCATTTATTAAGGTAGCATGGGATTGTGATACGAGTATTCTGTAAGGTCTTTTTCTCCTTATACCTTCTAAATCAGATTAATTTCATAATCAGTGAGTGCAATATTTCAAGACTGCATTTTATACATACATAAAGTTTTAAATCAATATGAAACAACTACATTGAAATTTAATGAAATCATGGCATAAAAACTTTTCACTGAGCAAATTATCATGACATCTTGAAAATGGACAGTTGATTTATTAGAAAAAAATGTTGTCCTCTAGACACAATTTTTATTACATAATTTTTAACAAAAGAAATACATGAAAAAAGCAAGACAGGAATATTAAGAATGTCTGAATGAAGAAAATTGTTTATTTTATATTTTCCAAAAATCATAAACCTGAATGGATAGTAAATGGTATTAATGTTATAACAAAACTAGCCAATCTTATTTAATGTAATAATAAAACAAGGCCTGGATCTTATATATACATAATCCATAGCTTGTAATTACCATAAAATTACATTTGTTGGTTGAATGATTTTGTTTTTTTAGATCTTCTTATCTACAATGGTAAACTAAAGAATCACTACATAATTTAATGGACTTTAAATTCAAAATTCACATTTTAGAATGTTATTAATACCACGAGATCACCAAGAAGAAAGATTAATAATATACAAAAATTATTTATCATAGCAAATCCATACAAGCTGGACTTGTAGTTTGAGTCTGATATGACATACACAAAAATCCATCCACAGTTCTAACTCGTGGCACGTACTCCTAGTTTCTCTAACACCTTCAAGCCCTTTTCCTGATACTCCTCTCTGGACATCCAAAATGTGTCTTTGTCCTTCATCACATCTGCTAATACTGCTCCACCAATAAATACCATATCCTTTCTTCGTGGTGGATCCTCAATCCTGATCTTGAATTTCTATAATAAATCATATAGTGTTAATTATTGGGAAATAATCTGGTAACTCTTTAATTTTAACATTATATTTCTGAGATAAATCATTTGGTTCCCAAAGGAATGAAGATCTGGAACACATAGAATATCACTCATGAATTTCTTGAAATAACATTTAGTATTCATTAGATGGATGGAGCTAGTACAAATTCAATGATGAATATCTGGATTAAAATGCTCACTATAAGCACTTTCATTCACAAAAACAACTGAAACAACCACTTAAAACATAAGGTATGATAACCACAAATTAAAGAAGGAGAAACAATACAATTACTTTATTTCCTTTATGTAGCATACCAAAAACACAATATAGTTAGATTATTTGAAGACATTTGATCATGAAAGGCTTCTGAGGTAGTAACCAAAAGTTTAGAAATTCATATTAGAAAGAAGCTTGAAAATTGTTAAACTAAAAATGCAAACATTTGCATTTTAGTTTTAACACCAACTTTAAAAATTTACTGTGTTCAACCAATTTGAGCTAAAAATAAGCAATAAGCTTTGTTTTATATATATATATA